TTATGAGGTGCCTTCCAGGGTGGGCGAGCAAAGGGCGGGCCCAGCTGGCACAAGCAGAGATTTGCACTTCCTCCCAGGGACCAACGGGGCCCAGGGCAGTAGGGCCACACCAGAGTGCACGCACCCGGACCTGGTCATACCCATTCACAGAATCATTGACTTCTGCAGGAAGTACGGCGTGGGCATAATTGACGGAGAAATGCCCTATGTCTGCTCTCTCCCAAACTGCCCTTCTTTAATCTTCAGTGGTGTAGCTTTCTAGAGAGTCACCTTTCTCTGCTTTGTAGGAATATTATAGGGGAATTTATAAAAAATAGGGAGCCCATCAACGTGAACTACATCCTTATGGAAAACTGGCCAGAAGAGACGAGCAGCATTTTTCTGGAAATTTACTAGCAGTGCAGGCAAAGTGACCCTACTCACCCCAGGTTGCAGGCCTGTGACCCCTGCCTCCACCTCGTGTCCATGATGGCCAGGAAGACCAGAGGCGAAGCCAGCGGGAGGTCTTGGGGAGGGTGCTAACATGACTTTCATTTTCCCACGGTCACCCTGCTCATGGGCAGCTGGGCACACACTCCCGCAGCTTCCCTTCTCCCCGCCGCCTGCCCCTCTCCCCGCAGCCTCTGCTTGCTGACTTTTGCTTCGGTCCACGTATTCGTTGTTTTAAAAATCCTGCTGGAGGCCGGCGCCGCGGCTCACTAGGTTAATCCTCCGCCTTGCGGTGCCGGCACACTGGGTTCTAGTCCCGGTCGGGGTGCTGGATTCTGTCCCGGTTGCCCCTCTTCCAGGCCAGCTCTCTGCTGTGGCTAGGGAGTGCAGTGGAGGATGGCCCAAGTGCTTGGGCCCTGCACCCCATGGGAGACCAGGAGTAGCACCTGGCTCCTGCCATTGGATCAGTGCGGTGCACTGGCCGCAGCACGCTGGCCGTGGCGGCCATTGGAGGGTGAACCAAGGGCAAAGGAAGACCTTTCTCTCTCTCTGTCTCTCTGTCCACTCTGCCTGTAAAAAAAAAAAACTCCTGCTGGAGAGGCTCAGCCACCTGGCTGTTTAGTGGTTCCTTCCAACTCTGAGGTCTCAGGCCTCTGCTTCCCCAAATGTGAAACCATGAAAGGACTGGACCCCAGCTAGTGGTCCTCACTGTGCGACATCAAAAACCCTCGTGTATCAACCACTCAGATTGAAGAAATGTTACCTTCAGAGTTTTGAGAAAGGAATGAAACCCACTAGGCTGGAATCTTAAAAATGGAAAATGGCAAGAGCTGGCAAGAATGTGGAACAAACACAGTGCTCCTACATCACTCGTACATCGCTGTGTAGAACACTCTGGTGGTTCCTCAGAGACTTAAACAGAGAAGTACCCGTGACTCAGCAATTCTACTCCTAGGTATGTACCCCAAAGCAGACTCAAACAGATACTTGTACACCAGTGTTCATAGCATTATTTATCACAGCAAAAAGGTAGAAACAGCCCAAGTGTCCATTGGCAGATGTGCCCACTGTGATGTAAGCAAGTTAATAAAGGTCTTCACAGCGCTGGCACTGTGGCACAGTGGATTAAAGCCCTGGCCTGAAGCGCCGGCATCCCATATGGGTGCCGGTTCTAGTCCTGGCTGCTCCTTTTCTGATTCAGCTCTCTGCTATGGCCTGAGAAAGTAGTAGAAGATGGCCCAAGTCCTTGAGCCCCTGCACCCATGTGGGAGACCTGGAGGAAGCTCCTGGCTCCTGGCTTCGGATTGGCGCAGCTCCGGCTATTGCGGCCATCTGGGGAGTGAACCAGTGGATGGAAGACCTCTCTCTCTGTCTCTACCTCTCTCTGTGACTCTGTCTTTCAAATAAATAAATCTTAAAAATAAATAAATAAATAAATAAATAAATAAATAAATAAATAAATGTCTTCACCTGTGAAGAGATGCGAAATCAGGCCTGTTGCCTGCATTGTGGTGAGAGTGAACCAGAATGAAGCTGGTAAAGCCACTGCCTTCTCCCGGGCTCCCCTTCTCACGGCCTGAGCTGCGGAAGTCACCGCATGTCTGAATCAGCTTCTTTGGTGCTGAGAGCTAGTTTAGGAACTACAGGAGCCCCTGCCCCTACTGTTTGTTAAATGGGAGTTTCCAGAAATAGGCAATTCGTAAGTTCATAACTGCACACCCCTCTGAGTTGTGTGGTGAAATCGTGTGCTGCCCGGCTCCATCCTGCCCTGTATACGCTACCCGCCCGTTAGTCCCTTAGTAGCTGGTTTGCATTGCAGTGCCCGGATACAGGGTTTGGTACTATCTGTGGTTTCATCCTCTGGGGGGTCTTGTACCCCTGTGGATAAGGAAGTTCTCCCGCACCAGAGTAGGTCTTGTGATGTTCACTTCTCCTGAAGCACGCCTAGCTCCAGCTGTGCTGGGTGCAAGTGTTCCATACCTAGACTCCAGAGTGTGGTCACTTAACTTGGTTGCAGGACTTTCCTGCACCAGAAAGCCGCTTTCTGATGGTGGGGGCCTGGGGTGGGGTCAGTGGTAGCACCAGAGGATTGAGCAGAGCTGTAAAGTAGGTCCTGAGATCCCCGTGGAGGCCAGAAACTCAGTGAATTTGAATTTGAATGTGAGTAGGCCCTTTGTGGACATTGCAAAGCCACTAAAGCTGGGGTTGGGGTGCTGGTGGCGGTGGCGGAGTTTAAAATCCTCCAGTTTTGGAGAGGAGGGAGGCAGTGCTGAGCTCCCAGAGGCCTGAGATTCCTATAGATGATTTCCAGTCGTGTTATTTCGCTTTTGTTCTTAGGAAGGGTGGTGAGTTTCCATTTCAAATTCACTCTGCATCCATTTCTGATTGATTTTGCTTGTCCAGAGAGGATTTGGGGAAGAGGTTATTATTGAGGCTGCAGCCAGTGGGGGGCAGGGGAGAGGGAGCAGGCAAGGCTGTCCAGAGTCTGCAGGGAGAGCCTGCAGATGCCGGAAGCCCCAACCAGTGAGAGCCGCGGGAGGGTGTGATAAAACAGAGGATTTGGGGTCAGCGAACCTGGTTGTTGAGCCCTAGTTCTGAAAGAGACATGATTTAGCTTTGAGGCTCTCAGCAATACCCCAACTGCTCTTTCCTCCCTGGTAGAATGGAGAGACCTCTCCTCTGTGCAGACCCCAGACAGGCACCGCTCTCACTCCCTTCTGGGATTGTCAGCTCCCACAGGGCCCCTGCCAAAGATGGACTGGACCTGTGACCTCTGCTGAGTGCCAGAGCTGGAATCTGGGCCTGGACACTGAAGGCTTGTTTCAAAATGATGAGCTGCACTTTCTGATTCTCCCTGGGAATCTGCAAGCAGCCTGGAGCCCACTGCAAAGATCGCAGAAGGGAGGGCAGGCGGCGCCATCCATGATGGGCAATTTGCAAGGAAAGCGGAGGAAGAGGGAGAGAAAGAGACCATGGCGGGGCTTGAGGCCCCTCTGTCCCGACGGGGTTCCAGGGCCCTGGGCCTTCTCCCTGCAGCACCCAGACCTGCTGCCATTTCTCTCACCCAAGGACACTCTCCACGCAGCCTCAGAGGGGTCCCCGAGACACCCACACTCCAGGTGCTGCCCTGTTGGGCGGGTTCTCAGTTTAGCATCTGGAGCCATAGCAGGTGGTTCTGTGCCCACCTCTGCAGCCTCACCGACTGCACCCCCCTCCTTCTCCCTTCTGGCTTCAGCAACAGAACTGTGTGACCTTGAAATGGCTCACCTCCCTCCCTGATTTCTGCCCGGAAGGCTGCACTCACCTCACCTCTGCGGGGTCCTCGCTAACTCCCAGCTCGGTCATTGCCCTCTCCTGAACTTTACCAGGCTTCCTCTCCAGGCGCGTCCTGTGCCCCTCTGGGTTTCCCGCGTCCCTGCTGCCCTGTCTTCTCGGATCACCTACCTGGTTGTGTCATCACTGTCCACTTGTCTGTGTGCTGCCTGGGAGGGCAACAGGCAGCCTGGCCCTGCAGTGGGCGCCGAGAAAGTTGGGGATAAACATTTGGAAGGAGCCAGCCCCTGGTACGATGCCCACGCGGCTCTTTTCTAACTACATGCCATGGGCAAGCTGTGTAACCTCTTTAAGCCTCAGTTTCTTTAAGGCTATGATAGAGATCATAACACCCCCATCACAGGGTTCCTGGGAAAGCTAACAGACACAGCACGTGCAGCCTTCATCGGTGTGCCTGGCTTGTGGGCAGGGCTGCCTGCATGTTCGCTGTTAATATAACAGAAAAAGATTCCTGTCCATCGCTGGGGTGCAAGGTCTCCAAGCCTCAGAGCCCAGTGCAGTGTTCCTAGGAAGAATCAACCTTCTAGAAAACAACAACAAATCTTTCCTAAGCGTCCCTTCAAGGGAGCTGGAAAATTTGTGCAGCACAAACCAGGAGTGAGATTTTAAAATGACAATCACAAAATGTTCTAAGGACAACCAAAGGGATTTCTTTAGAGGTGACACGGGGGAGGACTTGGGAGGATTAGGAGACTGGAGGGGCCCTGGCTAAAGGTGAAGGGGGAAGCGGATGTGCACAGTGGACTCAAGAGCCTGAGGCAGGCTCCGCTTGCCCACAGCTGCCGCGGCTCACAGGTGGCCAGGTGCTGGGAGCCCGTGCTCTGTCCTTGTGGAGGTGGTCCAGTCCTGCTCAGCCAGAGCCTGGAGCCCCCCACCCCCCACCCCGAGGAACCCTGGAGAGGCTGAAGGCAGCAAGCAGATGTTCTCACGCACCCGAATGTGTGTGCGAAGCTGCAGGAGTGATCCAGAACCCAAATGGCCGCAGGGTGAGTGAGGTCCGGTTGCTCCCACCTCTCCCCTCCTGGAGCCGCTGACGAAGGCCAAAGGCAAATGCGCCCGCCCTGGCTCAAGCAGGAGGCGCTCTAAGCCTGCCTGTCCCCATCTCCCAGCCCACAGCTCAGTCTCCTCCTCCGGGCAATGGGTTTGCAACTCCTGCAGTCCGCACAACAGATCTCGGATGCCGACCAGAGCTCGCTCCTTCCGGAGCCTCCCGCGGGGTTGGGGAGGTCCCGGTCTCGTTCTCTCCCGCCGCCCCCGAAGCCCGGACTTGAAGGAAGTGCGGGCAGCCGCGGGGCGGGGAGCCAGGCCCCGGGGGCTGACGGATGCGAGCGCCCACGGTCCGCCCCCGCCGGCTGCGGAGTTCCCCGGCGCGGGCGGGAGCGGGGGCGGCGCGCGCGCGCTGGCCAGGGCCCGGCCAAAGGCCCGGGGCGCGACGGCCGCTCCAGGAGGTCCGGCCGTGAGCGTGACCTCACGGGGAGGGGCCAGCGCGGCGGCCGGGCGGGGAGCCGAGTGCTGAGAGCGCAGCGCCGGAGCCGAGCCGCGAGAGCGCACCCGTGGCCCCCATGGAGCGGTACAAAGGTGAGGGCGCGGGGTTCCCGAGGCGCGCACCCACTCCCCTCCCGTTCAGCGCTGCGCGGGGAAGGAGGGCTGGGGCTGGTCCCGCGGGGAGTCAGGTGAGCAGAGCCGGCTTCCCCCGCTCGGAACCTGGGCCGAAGAGGGGGCGGCAGCGGCGGCGCCGCGGGCTGGGCGGGTGGGCCCTGGCTAGGGGCGCCCGCAGCTCCAGCCCTGTGGTCTTCCTGGGTTTAGAGGGCGGGGGTCTCAGAAAGGGGCGCGGCGGTGCGTCTCACCTGTAGGAGGAGAGAAGGGTGCGCGCGCCTCTCACCCCGGTGTCCCGCAGTCCCGGCGCCCCGAAAAGGCCCCCAAGTAAAGATTGGAACCACGCCACGGCGCCGGGGGCAGAAGGAGCGAGCTGTTGGGGGCTTTAGCCCACGCGTCCGTCGAGGTAGGGGCCCTACCTGCAGACCCCATGAAAGAGCCGGTTCGGGGCGAAGCGCCGGGGCAGCGGGGTGAGCGCGCAGCCCCGCTCCCAATCAGATCGGCCTCCCCCGCCTGGATCCTGCAGGTCGGGTAGCCACTTCTCTCCGAGCCGGTCTCTGCTCCCCGACCCGCTCGCACAGTGGGTTGGGGGGACTGACGGCCGGACGGGGCGTCCGGCAGGTGGAGCGCCCGGAGGCGGCCGGGCCCCGGGGCTTAGCCCAGTGCGCAGCTGGGCGAGCTTTGGGTTTGGCCCGGGGAAGGTGGGCGGGCCGGCCCTGGTGCGCAGCTATAGCGCCCGTGCTCGGAGCCCGCGGCCGGAGCTTGGAGGGCTTGGGCTGCAGTTCTGTTGAACGAGGCGCCCGGGGGGAGCAGCCCCTCGGGCGGGACGCGGCGGGCGCCCCCCGCCCCTCGTTCCTTTTGGAGAAGCCTCCTGCGCTCTCTGGTGCTGGGCGGGTCTCGCCAAACCTGCGAGAGGAAACGCTGCTTCTATATTTGTTTTCCCTGGGGAGGGAGTAATCAGGGAGCCGGCTCCGATTCCCAGGGAATCTCACTCCTGATAGTTTATTTCTGAAACCGACAGAGAGGGGCCTTAGGGGAGCGGCCTTAGCTCCCGGTAGCGGTCGTGTCTTCGGACTGTGCCATTGCTTTTTCTCATCTGGGTTAGCGGGTCCCGGCGAGGGCGAAGGACCTAAATCCCACCCCGCGCCGCCCATCCCCAGGAGGGGCTTTTGCGCAGGGCACGGCAGCTGGGGGTCGCGTGGTGGGCACCCTCCTCGAGCCTCTCGCGTTTCTAACAGGGTAGGTTTTCGGCTTTGGTCTCAGATTCTGCGGGGGTCGTGTGACTTCTGTGCCTCAGTGGCCGGATTCGCCCCAACGCAGCCTCCAACACTGGAGGAGGCCACACCCTGTCCTTGCCCAGCGGCAGCGCGACGTGGCTCCCCCCTCCACCCGGGACTCGTCCTTAGGGAGGGTCCCTGGGGGGCAGTGCAGGCCTCGGGTTGCCGCCCGGCTGGAAGTATTGGCCCCTAAGGGCGCCGGTGAGCTCCCTGGTTCGCGAAGCTGCGACTTTCTCGGACCAGCCCGTTGGTCTTTTTGCATTAGCGCGCGCGGTAACGTTTGGGGTCTTTTGCAGTGCCCAGTTGCTGTGGTTTCTGTGACTGGCCTTGACCTGATAAAATCTTCCTAGTTTATCTAACTCTTTTGGGGAGCTTAAAATCCTCCCACCCTGGGAGTTGAACATTGGTCAGGGGCTTTTTGCAGCTGAGGGAGATTTGGTGGCCAGTTCCAGGTGTGTGTTTTTGGTAGTGCAGGGATCTGCCCGGTCATTTTGCAGTAATTCCGACCCGGGGAGTGATCAGTGGATAAACCTGAGAGCCGCCTGCTTTGCAGAAGCTACCCCAGCGCCTCTTCGAGTGTTTGAGGCAGAAAGTCTTTATTTCCAGTCTCACTGCCGTCTCGCAAGTAATATTTTTTATTGCGCCTTTCACTAAGGCATGCAGGGATTTTCCCCTGTAAGGGGTGGAGAATTCTCCTTTCTCTTGAGAAGCCAGTGAGATGAGTTGTGCTTTGATCACCCATTGAATGGAAAAGTTGATCTGTGCAAGATGGAGCTTGCCGGGCCTAATCTCTGATTACTCAGGCGGCTTGACTGGGAGCAGGGACCTCTCCTTCCCGAACCGGCGCAGCCGGGCCAGTATCGGTGGTCTCTGCTCGCTTGTCAGAGAATGGGGGTTGTTTTTGTGTTTTTTTCTTTTTGATGGAAGTTATAGAATGACTAAGTCCAGTGGTTGAAACAGAGGTGAATGGAAAAGCGAGGTTTGCCTGAGCTCTCGGAACAGAGGGAGATGGTAAGGAAAAGTTCTTACATGTGTGTTACTCTTAATGTTCGGACAATAAATTCCCCATTCTGTGTTTCTAAATTTCCAATTTCGAGTGGTCCCTCCCCCAGACAGGTATGTACCTCATCGCTGGGCACATGCACAGTGAACCAGATCTCGGGGTGTTTTCTCCAGTTTATAAATTGTAGAAGGCACTTGATGTAGGAGAAATTGTTCCTCCATTCCCATTCCCCAGCCTGCTTGTTGCTTACTGTACATCCTCCAAACAGCATCAGCTTTATGCTCTGGGCCGGTTTTCCTTTGTCTTTTTTTTTTTTTTTTTAAAGCTTTATTGGGGGCTGGCGCTGTGGCATAGTGAGCAAAGCTGCCGCCTGCAATGCCGACATCCCGTACGCATGCCGGTTCGAGTCCCGGCTGCTCCACTTCCAATCCAGCTCTCTGCTATGGCCTGGGAAAGCAGTAGAGGATGGCCCAAGTCATGGGAGACCTGAAAGAAGCTCCTGGCTCCTGGCTTCAGATCGGCCCAGCTCTGGCCATTGCAGCCATTGGAGAGTGAACCAGAATATGGAAGACCTCTCTCTCCCTCTGTCTCTGCCTGTCTGTAACTCTACCTTTCAAATAAATAAATATCACATAAATAAAAATTTATTTAAAATTTATTTAAAATATTTATTTATTTATTTGAAAGGCAGAGTTAAAGAGACAGATATCTTCCATCTGCCAGTTCACTCCCCAAGTGGCCCCAACAACCAGGGCTGGGTCAGGCTGAAGCCAGGAGCAAGGAGCTTCCTCTGGATCTCCCATGTGGCTGCAGAGGCCCAAGCACTTGGGCCATCCTCCTCTGCTTTCCCAGGTACATTAAAAAGGAGCTGGATCAGAAGTAGAGCAGCCAGGTCTCAAACCAGGGCCCATATGGGATGCTGGCACTGCAGGTGGCTGCTTAACCTGCTATGCCATAGTGCTGGCCCCTTCTCTGCCTTGTAGTAAAGGGAGTTATGGAGCTAAAGGGTGATAGATTAGTACTCTGTCTAATGCAGACAAACGTCCAGACCTCCCTCCCAGTCCCTTCCAGCCACTCTCTAGGTAGCCATGGCTTTCCCAAGTCAAAGCAAGGGGTGTGGGAGAATGCGGCCCTCCTTCCCAGAGCAAAGGAGCGTTTGTGAAAGTAGAAAACAGGGGAAGTTGCTGTGTGTTGTGTGTGCCTATCTGTGTTCTGTAAGCAGTAAGACCCTTCTGAATGTCCCGGATGTGGTGCCAAGTCCTCCAGAGAGCCTTTCAAAGATTCCCATCCTTGGGTGTTTACATGTTTCTGACTCTTCTGAGAGCACCCTTGGTTCACTGTGTCTGTGCCCATTGGCTGAACTCTCCCCATGGGGTTAAGAATCCTGGTTTCTGCTGCTGCTCTCCCAGCTGTTAAGTGGGTCCAGGGCCAGATGTGACTGACCTACTCTCTGTGGATCACACTTGGAACACCCATGCCAGAGCTTCCTGAAGTTGCGTCACGCTTGGTTCCAGGCAGGCCTGGTTGAGTTACAGAGACTTGGCTTTGGGTCCAGGCATTAGTTGCGAGTAGACTCCTTCTTCTATGTCTTCTTGTTCTGACCACCTGATTCCACCCCTCAGGAGATGGAGGCGAGGTGCGAAATGCCAAGCCGGTCAAAGCTTTGCCAGTTTGCCTGGGAATCCCGAGATCTGTGATCAGGGAAGGTCCAAAAACGAAGAACAAACGGGAAGAGACAAGCAGATTGGGATCAGGCTCCAGCTGCACCCGCTGTCTTCCCATGTCTAGGAGCTCAGCTTTTTGCTCTGGGCAAGCTCTGCCTGAGACGGTGGAGCTTAACCATAGGTGCACGTGGGAGCGCCTAGCGAGCTTTAACAACTACAGACGGAAAGGCCCCAGTCAGGATGTTCCGATTGGTTGTTGCGGGTGCAGCTCGGACAACGCATTTTTTAAAGGTCTCTCAGTGATTCAGGTGCAGCCTGAGACCCATCTTCCCTTTGAACAATGCAATGCGAATATGGAAAACAAGTACAGTAGCCTCCTGGTATCCACAGGGGATTGGTTCCAGGATGCCCTAAGGATACCAAACTCTACCACTGGAGCTAGATTCCCTTATGTAAAATGACATGATATTTGCATAAAACCTACATACTCAACATTTAAAAAAAAAAATTTTAGGCGGGCTCAATAGGCTAATCCTCCGCCTGTGGCGCCGGCACACCGGGTTCTAGTCCTGGTCGGGGCACCGGATTCTGTCCCGGTTGCCCCTCTTCAGGCCAGCTCTCTGCTGTGGCCAGGGAGTGCAGTGGAGGATGGCCCAAGTGCTTGGGCCCTGCACCCCATGGGAGACCAGGATAAGCACCTGGCTCCTGCCATCGGATCAGCGTGGTATGCCGGCCGCGGCGCGCCAGCCGCGGCGGCCATTGGAGGGTGAACCAACGGCAAAGGAAGACCTTTCTCTCTGTCTCTCTCACTGTCCACTCTGCCTGTCAAAAAAAAATTTTTTTTTATTTACTTGAGAGGTAGAATTAGAGAGACAGAGAGAGGTCTTCCATCCACTGGTTCACTCCCCAAATGGTTGCAATGGCTGGGAGCTGAGCTGATCCGGAGCCAGGAGCTTCCTCCAGGTCTCCTACATGGGTGCAGGGGCCCAAGGACTTGGGCCATCTTCCACTGCTTTCCCAGGCCAGAGCAGAGAGCTGATCTAGAAGAGGAGCAGCCAGCAGTCGAACCAGTATCCATATGGGATGCCAGTGCCTCAGGTGGAGGCTAAGCCCACTACGCCAAAGTGCCATTCTCTCCACCTGTTTACATTAAATCATCTCTGGATTAACTTGTAATACCTAATATGATGTCAGTGTTATACAAATAGTTGTTATACTGTATTGCTTAGGGCATAATGACGAGAAAAAAAGTCTATACATGTCCAGTACCAATTCACCTGCAGCAGGGTAGCCCTCGCTATGCAGGACACACCAGCACTCATGTCACCTGTATTTCCCCAGATGTTTTTGCCATGGGTTGGGGTTATTTGCATGTGAAGATTTAGACCCTGCTGGCAGGAAGGGTCCACTGTAATTGCATCCACACCTTCCCCACAAGCGTGGTGTGAAACAGGCACCCCTCCACGCTCACCTGGAGCCCCGGCACTGCATCCGCCATGCCCGCAGAAACCCAAGGTCACTCCGTGGCGGCCGCTGCAGCCTTTCACAGGCTGTGGGAACGCGGCTTTGACACATCTCTGAGGTTTGCTCACTGCGCGTGACCCGGAGGCCTCCTGACTTTGAAGCTCTTTGCGTGGGAGCCCCTGGGCTGAGGCAGAAGGATGGAGAGGTCACTGGGGTGCTGAGGGCGTGGGGAGTTCTGCCCAGGGCTTTCCCCTGTTCTGAAGGAGGGGTGCTCTGGGACCTAGGCGGGTGCCGGCACAATTAAAGGGCCAGGAAGCTTCAAAGCTTAGCAAGCGGTGCCAGTGTTCTTCCACATCCCTTTCATGACGGGAAACGTTTCTTTAAAGACTGTCTTTTGGAGAAGGGTGACTCCCCAGGCTGGGGCAGGATGGCCAAGGGGAGCAGCCGTGGTGCGGGGAGGAACGTGGCTGTGCGGGACCCTGGAGCCCCCTGTGTTCCGCATCCTTGGGCAAGTTGCCGTGGCTCCCAGGCCTCAGTTTCCCCACCTAGCGTACAACGACCCCTGTTCGGCCTCTGCTTTCCCAAGGCGTCTCCAGTGCTGGTTGCTGTGTGGTCACTGAGGAATCTCGGGAGGGCGGACGTGTCCTGGGAAGGAGAATGCAGTGCGCGAGGGGGTGGGGTGGGTCAGCCAGCAAAGGTCACTTTAGGATCGTGGTTCTTATAAATAAAACCGATTTCCTGTTGAGAGCTGGAGACGCACAGACTGACTGGGAAGGCCATGGGCTGTGTGACGGATTCCTGTCTCCAGGGCTCTTGTGTGTCTGGGCCTCCAGAGATCATTGAACCCCAAGTCGCTCTCCAGAGCGCAGAGGCTTGTTCGTTCCCCTTTGACAGACAGGCCCACTGAGGCCTGCAGAGGGTAAGCACCAGTTCAGACACTCAGTGAGGAAGGTGGAATGCCTGTCCTGATAACATCAAGGATTTATTTTGCAAGAAGTGATGGACTGATTCCTTATCAGTGTAAACAGGCCTGGGAAGAGGTTAGCTGCTCACTAAACTCCCCACACTCCTCAGGACGTAGCCCAAGTGTCATTTCTTCCAGGAGGTCTTCCCTGACTCCACCTGAGTACAGCCTCCTGAATGCCTGGCATGTTGTAGGAACTCAACGAATGTTTGCTGAATTCATATCATGTTGTCTATAGTTATCCCTTGGTAAGGGGGAGCGTGTCCCAGCAACTCCCCCAGAGATGCCAAGATCTGTGGGTGCTCAAGTACCCTCTCTACAGTGTCCTAGTATTTGCTTATAACCTAAACACAAGCTCCCGTGTGCTTTAAATCATCCCTAGATTCCTTATCGCATCTAACACAACACAAATGCTGTGTCAACAGTTGTTGGTGGAAAAATAGCAGCCAAGTCTGCACATGCTCATTACAGATGCTACTTTGGATTTGGAATCTGTAGTTGGTTGGCTTAAGGATGTGGGACCCGCAGCCACAGAGGCCCCTGAACTGACATATGTGCACTTCTGTTTCATCGTGAGGCTGAACTCCTTCAGGACAGGGGCTTAGTCTCCCCTCCGTGTGTCCACCCCGCAGCCGCCAGCACACTGGCAGGCACCTAGTAGGCGTCTGGGGTGGGCCTGGGGGAATGAGTGAAGGAGTGAATTCCCAGCACCGAGGGCACACATTTTCCCACGCTCTGACTTCAAGAGCAGATCCGGTTCAGCAGGGCAACGGAGTGAAATCTCAAAGCCACATTCCAGACGTGGAGATGCAAGCCTGCTGTGGCCGCCCTTGGCTGCGCCAACTTGAGCCTTCTCTCTGTCTGTTCCAGCCCAGGGGTGCTGCTGTCTGGTGGTGCAGAGAAGGATCCTGCAGGTCTCTGCCTGTGAGTATGAGCCTGCCTGCGCCGTCTGCAGCAGCCCACCTGGCGCCAGGCTCCCGAGGGCACAGACCTGGCTCTGCCCATGCTGGGATGGCATGGAGCTGGGCGCCAGCCTGGGCACTCAGGGGCTCAGGCTTCTAATCTGGCTTTTGCCACTAACGTGCTGTGTGCCCTTGGGCAAGTTGCTGAACCTTTCTGGGCCGTGCTTCCTCCTCTGTACAAGCGAGGATAACGTTCACTAATCTACCTCGCAGGCTGCTTGGCGGAGTAGCTTGTGAGAGCTGCTGGGACTTATTTGAGAAGGGCAGTGTTGAATGAACTTGGGGGACCAGAAACGCCAGAACTTCTGTGCTGTGATTGCCCTACTGGTGGTGGGGGTCTTCACCATGGTGCCCAGGAAGCGCTCCGAGTTGAGGCTGCCCTGCCAGTTCCAGGCTTCCTTGCTTCACAGAGCACCCACGTAGCCTCTCTCTGGCAGCCAAAGAGACAAGCCAGGTACTGCCCGGTCTTCAGCCTGGGGTGGAGCCACATCCCGGTCCTGCCTGACTTCTCTGGGGTGGCTCAGTTAGATGCCGTGGCAGAGACCCTGACATTCTAACGTTAGCTTCCAGCTCTTGACTAATTTTCTGTCATTTGGCTCTCACCTTCTCCCTAGTTCATGTAGAAACAAACTAACCAAAAACTACATGGGGGATGGTGGGTGAAGAAAACGCATAGAAACACAGGGGGGAGCCAGCAGTGCCCCCCCCCCCCCCATGCACCTGTACCTGACTGCAGCAAACTCAGAATGAGGCCAGGCACGTGGGTGGACCCCTCTCTCTGTAGGAGGAGAGGGGAGGGGCGCCCATGCTAACAGAAGCCTTGCTCTGCTGTTTGCTAAACAGGCCCCGACTTCTCTGCCCACTTCCGTGAGCCCCTCCCAAGGGCTTGCGAGGCAGCTGCAGGCCTGGTGAGCTCAGCCCCAGCAGACTGCAAATCAGCTCTCTGGTCCTGATTAGCAGAGAAAGGAGAGTTGGTGGCAGGCTCAGGGGGAGCCACCTGCTGGGCACCAGGAAGGAATCGGTGCAGGGGCGTGTGCAGTCTGACCCTCGGAGGCAGCTTTCCCAGGCCGCGTGACCAACCCTCCTGGCTTGCTTGGGACTCTCCTGGTTTTAGTACTGACAGCCCTGGTTCCCAGGAAATCCTCTAATCCTGGATAAACGGAGACAGTGGGTCACCCTGTTCCAAGCTTTCTGAAATACCTCTAAATCAAGAATTTGTTTTTCCCATAGCAAAGATGAGCTAGAGCCAACCATTTCATCTCTTTGACAAGAAAGAGAAAAATCCAAGTCTTGAAAACTAGCAGATCGTAACTAACCACCAGTGATACTCACCAGCATGCCAAGTGAGAGAAGCCAGACTCTGAAGCCTACACACTGTATGGTTCCATTTATAGGACTTTCTGGAAAAGGCAGAATTATGTGTAGGGAAAGGAAATAGTTCAGCACTTGCCAGGGCCAGAGGAAAAGACAGGGTCACAGAGGGGCAGGAGGGAGACATGGGGAATGGTAGAAATGTTTGCTATCTTTATTGCTGTGCTGGTTGTACATCTACAGCTATTTGTCAAAATCCAGAACTGTGTAGTTCACAGGGAGGCGTTTTCCCGTGTGTGATGTAGCCCTCGATAAAGCTGACTTTTGAAAACACCCTAGCAGATTGTGGTGCTGTAGGCTAAGGCAGAGGACCAGTCAAACGCAGGGTTGGGCATCGCAGCTGTCAGTAGAAACAGTCCTGGTGTGGGCGTGCCCACGAGGTGCTGGAGGTACAGGAGCGGGTGGAGGATAATGGTACAAGACAAAAGATCGAGGCCTCCTGCCTGATGAGGCTTTTCTCCAAAGACAAAATCGGTGCCATGGCGGAAGCCCTTGCGCCATGAGAGCAGAGGAAAAACCAACAGCAGATCAGGCCTGGAGGGCCATGGAATGTCGGCGCATTCGTTCTGCGTTTCCACCCTGGGAAACTGCTGCTATCCACACATGGATCTAATGTTTTGACCCTGGCAGCCTATCTGCAAGGCTTTTTAACTTTTTTTTAATTGCCAATAAAGTTATTGCCTTGGAATAGAGGACCCAAGTCTGCACTGTAATTGTCTCTTGGTTGACTTTTTAGGTTTGGCAGCCCTGCCTGTCTCTGCTCGCTGGGATTGATTTTGAAGGAGAAAAACTGTGATTTCGGAAAATCACGCACCTAGTGCCATGTGATGTAAGGGGTCAGTCCTCCTGTTTCCAGGCTGGGGGAAGCACCAGCCCTCACTGCTCCCGGCCAGGAGACAGGAGGTAGAATCCTCCACGAATAAAGTAGTCACTCTTCTCATCGTTATGGAGGCTTTTTTTCTTTTAAAGATTTATTTTTATTTGAAAGACAGTTACACACAGAAGGAGAGGCAGAGAGAGAGGGAGAAAGAGAGAGAGAGGTCCTCCATCCGCTGGTTCACTTCCCAATCAGCCGCAACAGCCAGAGCTGTACCGAACTGAAGCCAGGAGCCAAGAGCCCCTCTGGGTCTTCTCACACAGGTGCAGGGACCCGAGGACTTGGGCCATCCGCCACTGCTTTCCCAGGCCACAGCAGAGAGCTGGATCAGAAGTGGAACAGCCGGGACTTGAACCTGTGCCCATATGGGAAGCTGGCGCCGCAGGCTGGGGCTTTAACCTGCTGCACCACAGCACTGGCCCCAACTTTTTTTTTTTTTTTTTAAGATTTATTTTATTTATTTGAAGGGCAGAGTTAGGGAGAGGGAGAGAGAGAGAAAAAGAGAAATTGGTCTTCCATCCACTGATTTACTCCTGAAGTGGCCACAGTAGCTGGGGCTGGGCCAGGCTGAAGCCAGGAGCCTTGGCCCCCATCTGGGTCTCCCACATGGGTGGCAGGGGCCCAGGCACTTGAGCCATTCTCAGGGCATCCCCAAGTGCATCAGTAGGAAGCTGAATCAGAAGTGGCGCAGCTGAGACTTGAAGCGATGCTCACGTGGATGCTGGTGTCTTAGCCCACTATCCACAATGCCAGCCCCCTGATGGAGTCTTAAGAGCTTAGAGGTCTCCCCCCACTTTTTTTTCAGTAAAAAGAGAGAAATAGACAATCAGAGCTGACATCCATTGATTGGTTTGCTCTCCAAATGACCCCGATGGTCCAGAGTTGGAACCAGGGACTCAGTGTAGGTCTCCCACATGGGTGGCAGGAAACAAATTACTTTAGCCGTCCCTGTTGCTTCCCAAGGTCCGCACTAGCAGGGAGCTAGAATTGGGAGGTGGAACTGGGGATTGAACCCAGGGACTCTGGGATGGGCCCAGGGCATTCTAATAAGCATCATAAATGCTAGGCCAAATGCTGGCTCTGGTTTCCACTTAAAAAACACTCAAAGTCCACGTTGACTCAGCCAGTTCTTCAGGTCTGGTGCGGGGCCCTGGGAAACTGGGTCTGTGTCTTTGTACCTTCACCGAGTACAGGGGAGTAGAAGGCTGTGAACTTCTGTACAGGAAGTCCAATGGCCCCGGTCAGGCTCATAGGAGAGCCTCACACCTACGGCTCCTCTTGGTCACAAGCGTGTCCAAGCCACAGGAGCAGTTCTCCTCGACTTTTTCTGGGTGTCCAGGAAGAATTACAGAGTAATACGTGGTACAGGCCTTACTATGATTGCCTTGACTTTGTTGGGTAGGTGGGGGTGGGGACAGAAGAGAATTTCTGTGTGTGTTGGAAGTGAGCGACACTTCTTAGGGCAGGGTCAGGCCTGGCTTGTGGCTCGTCCTCCCAAGAAGGGCCAAGTTTGGGCCAGCCCCAGGGTGCATTTCTACATTTCTAGTTTGAATGCAAGTACAGGAGAGCCGCTTCATGTGAAGGAGAAGCTAGCAGTTTGTGGGCAAGGGGATCCCAGACACTTCCTTACCTGTGCTGCACACTGCTGCCACCACTTCCCGGGGCTCCGTTGGCGCTGGCATCCTTGTGGGTTTGGGGCACCATCTCAGCCTTCCTGTTAGACCAACAAGCGGGAATTCTGCCATTTCCTTCCACCCTCTCTCCCCTCTCCTCCTCTCCCCCCAGTTTTTACACAACAGCATTTATTCATGTTAACTGTGTTCAGGTCCCCAGATGGGAGGAGAAAAAAGATTGTGTTGAATGAGCTTATTGTTTGGAGGTTTCACTGCCTTCTTTGATTTCATACCCACAGTCCTAGAACATATTGAGCTGATTTACTAAAATTCAGATGTGGTCCTGCTGGATGGAGCCCTGTCGGGCGCTCGCTGTCCCTGGAGTGGACAGTGGAGGCTGGGACCTATTTGGGTGGCAGGTTTGCTTAGGGCAGCTCATCTACACGCTTCCCCGGGACAAATGCTTTCAGTTACAATCCCAGGCTCGTGAGCTTGAGGGGGTCATCACCCTATTGCCTTTTGCATTGTCAGGCCTTTTGTGGTGTCCGCATCTAGCACATTGTTTGCAGAAATAAAGATGGACACCCCCTTAAAGTACTGGAGTTGACAGGAGCCCCCTGTGGCTTCTTCTTGGCCATCTCTTGCATTCACAGGAGGCAATTAAGGATGGAGAAGCAGCTGTAGGGCAGAAGTAGGAAGTACCCAACCACCTCACATCAACAACTGAGATGCTGAACGCAGTGTGGCTGGACCGCGACAGCCGTGGCGGAGTTGGGTTGGAGATGGGGTCTGCACTGTGGGTATTCCTGGAGTTGTGGCTCAGGATCACGGCGTGTTTGGTAGTCGAGTGCCGCAGTCTCTATGGCTGTGACCTGGTTGCCATGACAGCTGCAGGTGTCTGGGGTCTTTGGGGACTCTCACGATAGAGCCATGGCAGGTGGTTGAGCTGGGCGAAGGTCTGTCTCATTGGCGTCACTGGAAGCTTGTGTCAGGTTCGAGTCCTTAACACCAAGATGCCTAAAAGTTGGCCTTGGGCCCCAGCAGGTAGGGGTGACAAAGGATTGCCTGTGCAGGTGTGAGTGTGGAGTGATTCAGGACACCTCCGGGAATGCACGGGCAGCACCCTCCTTCTCGTCTCCCCCGTCTTCTCCCGGCTCTTCCTCCCCTCCTGTTCTTTAGTTCCCTCATTCTCCCCTCTTGACTTTCTCCCCTCTTTCTTTCCTGCCAGTTCCACTGGCTCAGGAGTGGGTCCAGCGGAGCCCAGAACGGAGATTCCCATCGAGAACCCAAGGCCAGAAAGACCCAGAGAAGCAACAGCCCCACCCCTTTCCCCAGCTCTCTGGTGGTCTCAGGGCCTCGTTTCCAGGAGCCATGGCTGGAAAGCCAGGCTTCCCTTGGCGGGGGGAGGGGGCTGGGGACCTCCGAGTCACCACGGAACCAGGACTCGTTCTGAGCATCTCGCCGTCTCCTAGAAGAGGGGCCCCAGTGCAGCGTTGCTCACGTGACATCTGCGGCTTCAGTCGGACCTGTGCTGCGTCATTGCTGCGCACGACTTCCTGTAGTGAGCGCCTCCGTCCCCACACTTCAGGGCCGGAGCCACTTGGTCACCCTGGGAGCTTGGCAGCCGCCACCTGGCGCAGTGCCCATCAGTGTCACAGTGACGTGGGTGCCCGCGCAAGGGAGCTCTTACCCTCTCTCCCTGGGTCCTTAAATAGCGTTGTGCCCTGCTGACCATGGCGGGCTAGAAGCTCCTCCCAGTGCCATCCCAAGGGTGTCCAGGGTGGGTCCGTGCCGTGCAGGGCAGCATGAGAACAGTGCCAGTGTTTGGTTAAAAGATCCAAATACGAAGATTCAATGTTGACTCAATTTTTCCCATTGACCTCTCAGCAGGCAAGCGCCTGTCTCCCAGCGTGTGTTGCCAGTTTGGGCTGCATAGCTGTAAATACTTCTGGCTGGGCATTATGGGACCCAGGTGTCACCCCTGGCCGCCACGCACTGCCTGCCTCTAGAGTGGAGAGGCCGTTTTGTTGTCAGGCTGCTGCTTTTGAGATCAGTTCCTTCTGAAGTGTGACTCCTTCCCTGTCCCCAGCCACCAGGTCTTGCCCTCCTGGGAACTCTGCTAGATAGATCTCCCAGCTCCTGGTTTTTTTTGTTTTTTTTTTTTTTTTTTCTTTCCCTGACCCGGAGGTGAGGGTGGGGATCCTCAAGTGCTCTCCAGGGTGCAGGGAGATGCTGGAATGTCCTCTTGTGGTTGATAAGGATGGACCATAAGCCACACCCTCTGTGGGATACCCTGGGGCTCACTACTCAGGGTGAGGAGGTGGGCCTGGGTCACTTGCAGCCTTGTGTCCGCCACAGCTGGGCTGCTGCCACCAGCCATGGCAGCATGCAAGTGGGAGTCTGAAGTAGGAACTCTCAAGAGAGTGTGGGTGGCTGGGGACACTTAATGGCCTCTCTGTCCCTAGAGATAGAGTTGGGAGTCAGAGCAGAAGTGGCCCAAGGGATTGGGTTGGAAAACGCCTTTGGCTAGATTGCAGCCCTAAGCATTTAGAGAAGTGTCAGATAAGACTTGTCCTACAACAGGATTTGTTTTCCTGCCTAGGGAAGGTTGAGGCAGCTCTAAGGAGAGGAGGTGGGAGCGCTCCGAGACGGAGTTGTGTTGCAGGGAGTCCTCCATAGCCTTCCTCCATGCCTTCCTTCTTGGCTGCCATGAGTCATGGCACGTGGACTTCTTCTCTGGTTGGGGAAAAAAAAAAAAAAGAGAGAAATAAGAGTGGTCCCATAGCTTGGAGCAAAATGTTCTCTACAAAAGGCTTTTTAAAAACTTACCACTTTTGGCCGGCGCCGTGGCTCAATAGGCTAATCCTCTGCATTGCGGCGCCAGCACAGCGGGTTCTAGTCCTGGTTGGAGTGCTGGATTCTGTCCCGGTTGCCCCTCTTCCAGGCCAGCTCTCTGCTGTGGCCAGGGAGTGCAGTGGAGGATGGCCCAAGTGCTTGGGCCCTGCACCCGCATGGGAGCACCTGGCTCCTGGCTTCAGATCAGCGCAGTGCGCCAGCCGCAGCGCACCAGCCGTGGTGGCCATTGGAGGGTGAACTAACGGCAAAAAGGAAGACCTTTCTCTCTGTCTCTCTCTCTCTCTCTCACTGTCTACTCTGCCTGTCAAAAAAAAAAAAAAAAAAAAAAAAAAAAAAAAAAAAAACCTTACCATTTTTGGGGCCGGCACTGTGGCGCAGCAGGTTAATGCCCTGGCCTGAAGTCTCAGCATCCTTATATGGGCACTGGTTTGTGTCCCGGCTGCTCCTCTTCTGATCCAGCTCTCTGTTGTGGCCTGGGAAAGCAGTAGAAGATGGCCCAAGTCCTTGGGCCCCTGCACCCACGTGGGAGACTTGGAAGAAGCTCCTGGCTCCTAGCTTTGGATCGGCGCAGCTCCGGCCATTGCAGCCATCTGGGGAGTGAACCAGCAGATGGAAGACCTCTCTCTCTGTCTCTACCTGTCTCTGTAACTCTGTCTTTCAAATAAATAAATATTTAAAAAAACTTACCAAAATTGAGGATGAAGATGGTTTAGACTCAGGAGGAAAGAGCTGGCTGGCAGAGATCTTGGTGGGCTCTTGGGTAAGATTCTGCCACGTCACTGATGACTTCATTCATGCATTTCCAACACAAGCATACTTGGCAATTGGGTAATCTTGGGATTGAGAAGCAAGGCCAAGAAGGGGAAGTCTTCATTTCATTCAGGACAACCCAGACTTGTCAGTGGATGGCTCTTACCCACCTGGATAGTTTAACTTGATTGCACATAAACTCTTTTTGTTCTAGGATTTTCTGAGTTTCTCTGAGATTTTAACACATTGTTACTGTAGCTAAAATGAGCCCAACTTTGCAAAGTCTCTGAACCAGGCCCCTTCCTCGAGTGCAGGTGGTGTCCAGGGCAATTTGCCAGTGGCTGTGGGGAGGAGGAGGTGTGCTGTCCACTTGTACTGCCCGGGAGAAAAATCCAATCTTCTTTGGTACCTGGCCCCCTGATATTTGTCCAGCCTCTTTGGCCATACCTTGGTTCACTCTATGCCCAGGCCATTCTGGACTCCTTAGAGTTCCCTAGCTTGGGCTTTTGCATATGCTAGTCCAATGGCCCAGCCAACTTAATTGTCACCCAGTCTTAAAACCTTGACCTTGACTACCTTGAGGGTCTTAACCTTCATTGTACAACTCATAAGCCTTGTTGGCCATGGTCATTGTGTTGATGTTATGGCTGATGGAAGGCCTGGATTTCCAGTGGGAGATAAACCCATGAAAGGTTAAAGACATTTTTCCTGTGTCCACAATGCCTCACCCCATGTGTGATATATCATGAGTACTCAAGGAACAGGAATTGAATAATTGAGAAGTGGATGCTGCCTTCAGGTTTTCTTTGGGTTGGATTATTTCAATTGAGGCTCTGCTCACCCTGGACAGTTAATACAGCAGAAAGGAGGGAGGGATTTACAACATTTTAAAACATTCAAGATGTAAACATTTAGATATACCAAGAACTCCTGCAAATCAACCAGGAAAAGACAGAAATCTCAATCGAAAAGATCTTGCATGAAGGGCGTGAGCACCATGTTACAGGTGAGAAACTAACAAGCTTCCAAAAACAGGCCTGGACCCCTTCCCTGGAGACCAGCAAGAACCCCAGTAGGCTGGCAAGAACCAGAAGCCTGCACGATGCCAAGTCTTTGCAGGGATGTTGGGGTCAGCAGCCCTTGTGCATTGCTGTGGGGTGCAGGCAGTCTGCAGAGCAGTCAGGATTTTCTCAGTTGTGTTGAATACGCACGTACCCCGTCGTCTAGCAGTTCCCAAAGAAATGTCTGCAAAGGCCCATGGGGCAAGGTCAAGAATGACCTCTGCAACATTGTGTGTCATGGAGAGTGGAAGCAGTCTAGGTATCGTGGGGAGAGGGGACAGGTGAGTAGCCAGCTGCATACCGCAGAGCCTTCGGCAGCAGTAGAAGCAATGGGTTGGGTGTCCGTCCCTCAGCGGAGATGGACCCAAGACATAGTGCTGGCTGAAAGGTCAGAAGCAGGTAGGCCGTTTGGCAACAGCATTTATATCCATCAGAAATTCATAAAATGGTATACATGAAGCAGAATACCTGTAATGGAAGAAGTCTGTGTTAGAGATGTCATTGCTGTTGGGGGAGGAGAGGGGGTGTGGGGAGGAAGGGAAATTGTGAGAGTTAGCTTATAGTCTATGGTTGATGGTTGAGCTCCCAGGTAGTTCTGGCTTGAAGTAGAACTTGCAACTGCAGGAGCTGACTCCGTGTGCTTGGAAAGATGGAGAGGGGGGCCGGTGCTGCGGCTCACTAGGCTAATCCTCTGCCTGTGGCGCCAGCACCCTGGGTTCTAGTCCCAGTCGGGGCGCCAGATTCTGTCCCGGTTGCTCCTCTTCCAGGCCAGCTCTCTGCTGTGGCCCAGGAGGGCAGTGGAGGATGGCCCAAGTGCTTGGGCCCTGCACCCGCATGGGAGACCAGGAGAAGCACCTGGGTCCTGGCTTCGGATCTGCAGGGTGCGCCGGCCGCAACACACTGGCCACAGTGGCCATTGTGGGGTGAACCAATGGAAAAGGAAGACCTCTCTCTATGTCTCTCTCTCACTGTCTACTCTGCCTGTCAAAAAAAGAAAAAAAAAAAAAAGGAGAGGAAACTACTTATCCCTCCCCCATGAAGGAGTCAGCGAGGAGGTCCCTTTCCTTCTTGTTAATTGCTGGGTTGTCTGCAGCCCTTGCTCCATGACTGTGTGATAATGGACTCCTGGACATTAGACCCCACTGTTTACAGTCAACTGTCAGAGCTGCAGAGCAGTTAGCAGTCAGCTGTCACTGTGGGCAGTGAGGGGGCATGTTGTCCCCCCTCAGTGAGCCTGGGCTGCTCAGCCTGGCTTTTCACAGTTGTGTATTTTTCAGCTGCCTCCAGCCACTCTGAATGCCTGGGCTCTTAGTCATTTTGGGTCCACATTGCTAAGTATAGGTCATGGCCAAGGGCCAAACTCCCACTGTTTGTCAGATTGAGCAGAATGCCATGGGGTTGGATTTTTCCAGTACCTGACTGGACACAAGATTGCTAGACTGTAACTCGGGGCCCACTGTGAACTAGGGGTCCATTTTTGCTCCTCTCCATGAGGGAGATTGGGATAGTCAAAATCACACATTCAGGGACAAGCATTGTGGCACAGCAGGTTGGCCCTGTGCCTCAGGCACCAGCATCCCATGGAGGGATCAGTGCAGGACCTGGCTGCTTCACTTCTGATCCAGCTCCCTGCTGGTGCACCTGGGAAAGCAGTGGAGGATGGCCCAGGTGCTTGGGTCCCTGTGCCCATATGGGAGTCCTAGAAGGGGCTCCTGGCTCCTGGCTTTGACCTGACCCAGCTCCAGACATGGTGGCCATTTGAGGGAGTGGGCCAGCAGATGGAATCTCTCTCTCTCTAGGGGTATGTGTCTGTCTGTCTCTCTATCCCTGTCTCTCTAACTCTGCCTGTCAGGCAAGCAAAAAATCTTTAAAAAAAATTCATGCATCCAAACAAGATAAGCACCCTTCTCCTCCCCACCCCCCATCCTCACCTAGGTCCAAATGATTTGGACAGAATTGGGCCCTGATCTTGGTTCTGTCATCTCTGTTTTGACTTAATA